TCCCAGTTGACCTGAAGGCCCAACAGGCTGAGGTGTGAAAACACCAAGTCCCTGTGCTCGCACAACTGATCCTGAGACTGGGCGAGTATGAGCCAATTGTCGAGGTAGTTGATGCGAATGCCCTGCTCTCTCGTGGGAACAAGGGCTGCCTCCATAACTTTCGTGAAGACACGAGGCGACAGGGACAGCCCGAAGGGCAAGACCTTGTACTGGTATGCCCGCCCCTCGAACGCGAACCGCAGAAATGGCCTGTGGCGCAGAAGGATCGAAACATGGAAGTACGCGTCCCTCAGGTCGATCGCTGCGAACCAATCTTGGGGACGGATACACCTGAAGCTGCATTTCTGCGTGAGCATCTTGATCTATCGCGTCCTTCGCCAGTAGGACTGCGATCTCTGCACGCAAGACAGGGGCATCTGCTGCTTTCACTGACGTAAAGTGGACGCCCCTGAACTTGGGAGGGTGCCGGGTGAACTGAATCGCATAGTCGAGACCTGACGGTTCGAAGGAGCCATCGAGACGGGCTGGGTAGCTGTAGCCAGGCTCCCAGACACCGCGTAAGTGGCATCAACGGGACTACAGGCGTACCCGCAGTGGGGCAGCGCGGAAGAACGCAGGGACCCGGCCCGGGCATCTCGTTGTCGGTCCGAGGCGGGGTCTGGGTGTATGTAACACTGACCTGCGTTTGAGCAGAGGGTGCGTGGGTAGTCTGTTGGTTCGTCCTCCCGATCCGCCCACTGCTGCTCACTGGCGAGAGAGGAGGGTGAGTGTGATACGGCTCTGGATCGTTCACAACCCCCCGTCCCCTCAGGGGACCCAGCGGTAGAAGAAATTGCTCTTTTGTCGAGTATTTGGGTACCACTGATCACGAGGTCAGTGGCGGAAAAAAGGAAACAAAAGATTCTCTGCCCGGCACTCCTCCAGGGGAGGGAGTGGTGCGTTCACCATCTCCCGAAGAGCAACTCCCTCCATCTCTGGGTAGCCCGTCTCAGGGCCTCTTGCTCTTTCGCTTACCACCAGGTCTGGCGGGGGCCTGGACGGGCGGGGCGGCTGCTCCAGTTTTGCTGGAGGCTGCTGCAAACACTGCGCGGGAGCGGGGGCGGTGGCCGGGGGCCACCCTCGGCGACGAGCGGGCTGAGGCGCTGCCATCGGCGGCTGGGTGGAGGCAGCAGCTGCACGCCGGGGCAGGATGTATCTGATGGCCTCAGTCTGCTTTTGGGCAGTGGATAACTGCTGCAAAAAAGCCGGTCTGGGACACGGGGGCGTTCTAGAATCTTGTCTTGTCCGTCTCGCGCATGTCGGCCAGACACAGCCAGAGATGGCGCTACTAGACCACCATAGTGGACATCGCAAGACCCAGAGACTGCGCTGTAACCTTCGTTGCTCATAGCGCGAGGTCCGTCGTGGTGCGGAGTTCTTCCGGGTTGTGACCACCCTCGTGCAAGTCCCTCAGTGCCTTAGCCTGGTGCACTTGCAGTAACGCCGAAGCGTGTAAGGCGGACGCAGCTTCTCCACAGGCTGTATAAGCACTGCCGATCAAAGCCGACGAGTGCCTACAGGCCCGGGAGGGGAGCAGCGGTTTGCCCCGCCAAGTGGTAGAGGCATTTGGACACAATTGTATCGCAACCGACCGCTCCACCTGGGGAACTCCCGCGTACCCGCGCGCTGGACCCCCATCAAGGGTGGTGAGGGAGGATGAGCCACCGGGCCGGTTTCTGGCAGTGAAAGGTGCTGTCCACGACCCAGCGATCTCATCATGCACCTCCGGGAAGAAAGGCACTGGGGTGGGGCCCTGAGAACCAGTGCGTGCCACCCCGAGAAACCAATCGTCCAACCTTGAGGGTTCGGGATGCGGTGGAAGATTCCACTCGAGCCCGACACTCTCGGCGGCCTTGGAAAGCATAGCCATCATTTCCGGGTCCGTATCCAGCAACGCTAACAGATCTTCATCCCCGGAGAAATCCGGCTCACCCTCCGATGCTGCAACCGACATCCGGTCGTTGGGGGGAGCCTCGGAAGAAACAGGTGGTACCCCCTGGGAGGGTCCAGCCTGCTCTTTTGAAAGCTCCGCTGGTTTCGGAGTGCCGGCTGCCTGGGGCATCCCCGGAGGGAAATTCCTCACCGTGACCTGACCGTAAGACCAGTCCGCCCACTGCCAGAAGAACGGCGCCCCCGTCTGCCGCCAGAGGGAACCCCAGATCTAGGCAGTGGCACGGGTACTCTGCCCCCTTGCAGGTAACGAAGTCTGGTCCGCAACTCCGAGGTGGTCATACCCCCGCAATGGGAGCATGAGTCATCCACGAAAGCCACCTCAGCGTGCTTCATGCCTAGACACGAGAGGCAGCGATCGTAACCATTACCCGGCACCAGGTAACGACCGCACCCAGAAACACACGGATGGTACGACATCTTTAAAAAGACGCGTCTTTAAAAAGACGTTCCACCCGTGAAGCTCTTTTAGATGTAATTTGCTCTTTTAGTGTGCTGAAGCGCACAGGGGAGATGGCCGTCTGCAACACACACAGGGGTAGTGCAGCCTGTTGT